GGAAAAGTCTGAATCTGTACAATTTATACCAGTTTTATGTGTCTTTTAGTCAGTAAGAATTCTTTTTATTTCAACAACAGATGCTTAAAAACTTTTCCAGATAAAAATCAGGAAAACGGCAAAATACTCCGAGCTTGTTTTGCAACAAATAACTGAATGTATCTGGTGAATTAATAAAGTATTTCATACAATTTTTTTTATGAAGGATGTGACAACAAATTAAGAAGATACTTAATAGTATACACTATCAGAAATAAAAGAATTTGGAATGGTATAAGTAGTGATATTTTATCATATGAATGATTACCGTTCGTGAGGATCGATTTCTACACTAATTAAGTAGCACCTTTTAAAAGAGTAAAAGGTTCTGATTTTTCTGCAACGATAATGTGTAATCTATGTATATGAGTTAATCTATTGTTGCAGTAGATTTCATTGATAATGTTTTCTTTTTCTAGGAGAATTTGACTTATCAAAATTGATCGATTTTTCCATATTGGCAAAATCTTTTCCACGACTCATTTCTCTATGGACCAGTGGATACAATCTTATTCCTGATGAAAATCTTGCTACATTGGTTTTATCAGTTGTGACGAACTTTCATGAACTCATCGAAGTAATTATCAATAAAGGAACCCGTCATAGAGGTCTTGACAATCGAGAACTTCGAACGATGCGTATTCAAAAAAAGTACATCGAAATGTTGTTAAGAAATGCTGATAAACTTCGAGACTTGAATCATACGAACGTTTCTTTAATCAACTTTACTGAATTATGCATCTGGTTCTAGCGCACTGAACATTTCTTATTTCTAACTCTGTAAGAAATCAATATTTTTCAAAAAGTAAATAACTTTTTGTTAAAAAGAGGTTTTTTTCTGAAAAAATAAATACCACATTCATTCACAACGATGGACTGTTTGACAAACTATCATACAAATATTTATTAGGGATGGAAGAAATCTTAGTCACTCGCTCAGTAATTCACAGATAGTCACCTTTAATCACTCTGTTGTTATTGCACGTTATCTAGAGAAAGAAAATTCGTATATTCATTTATCATGTGACGCAACAGAACAAAACATAGGAGGAGATATGAGATATGTGATATGATAATGTCTTTTACGAATTACAGTAATTATTCATCTATTTATCATTTGATTTGTGCACAAGTCAAGTTGACATACTGGTACAAAGTGATTCACTGCAAGTCACAAGGAGTTTTCTCTACGTGAAATAGCGTGCAATAACAACTGAAGGATTAAAAGCGGCTAGTGTGAATGAGTGAGCGAGTGAGTGATTCCTATTTCTTCCATCGTTGTTATATAATCCTACCGATTCTGAAAGTATCAAAGAACGAAAAGCAACTTTATACAACATGAGTTATATTGTTAGAAAAGAAAGTTATCTTTGACTGGAATATAGTAAAAAAACATTACTTCGTAGCCGCACAATCTCGATCCACGATAGTGCTCCAGGAAAAACCATCCCCGAGAAACATTCATATCGCAGCTCACGAAAAATTATAAAGGTAGCTCTGTAGAATTCTGCGTTTTTAAAAGCCATTGATTTACAGACGATATTGAAGAGCGTACGATTTCTTTGTATAAAATTATAACTAAATGAAAAATGAGTGCAAAAGTGTACGATACGATGCTAGATAAGAGGAGAATGATGAATTCTGTGTTAGATAATATCATGCGTCTCAGTCAAAAAGAATAAGCAATACAATGCTTTTCTCTTTGAACCCAGCGTGTACTCAGCAAAGACAAAAAACAACAGTATTTTTTATGAATTAACATTATCTACGATCTGAATATTTAGTATAAACAGTATTATGTAATATTGAATATTCACTGTAGCAGATGTATAGGGAGTACAATGGAAATCATCTTTACACATAATATCTTCATTAGTCGACCATCCAATTAACATCATAAACCGATTCTAGATATTCTATATCATTTAGTCTTCAGCTTCAGAAAAAATCTTAATTATATTGCCGTTTCATTAACAGATTTCGAAAATACCGTAAAAAAGTGTTATTTAACAGTAATGTTCTTTTATCTTTTGAGCTAAATTAAGGTGCTATGCGCTAATTTTTTGGATAGTTCTTTAGGTGCATCTTAAACAATTTTCCCTGCTCTATCGAATGCAAATAAAATTATTGTCGGCCCGAATTTCTTTTGATATTTTTTTTTCATTGAAATACTAAAAAACAGCAAAAAATTTTGAAAATTTTTGTGTCGTTTTTCATATATTGACCTAACGTAGATATGTTTAAAAATTATTTAAGGAAAATGAAAATATACAGTTTTGTAGAGCGAAACTTGCTCTATCTTTTGAGGTATGATTCAATTTGATTCGATGGAATTTTAGAAAAAAAATAATCACATACTAAAAACAAAAAAAGTATCATCATTATTTTAGATCTTTATGGAGATACTTTCAATGTTTTTTTCATATCTATTCAAAAGTCACTCATAGAAGGCTAAAACTTTGGATTTATAAGTTTCTTTACATGCTCTTTCATTTGCAATGATAAAACAGGTAGGTCAATTTTTCTCATATGACTCGATTTCTCGAGTGAGCCATGGACTATCTCTTAATAATATTGGATGAGTATGAAGTCAACGATGATCGTCAAGCAATTTTGGATATTTTGAACCTAATATCTATGTTTGTTTTCATATTTCATTAATAAATGGCTTCGGGCAATTTTCAATATAATAATTGTGATCTACAGTCTTGCCTTTATCTACACTCTGGATTATGTGATATAAAGAATATCCTAAACAAAGTTTTGGTTAAGATCTGTCTCCATAAACAACAGTCTTTGACAATTCATCCTCAATAAGCTAGTTAGCATCATATGACTTGTAACTAACCTATCTAAAATAAATCGATATCACATCACTAGTAGTGCTAGAATGCAACTGACATGATCGAACAAAATTTTGCTAAATTTTGAAAGCAAATGAAATATGATTAACTGATACGGTTTTCAAAGTACCTAAAAATTTTTTCGAAAAAAACTTCAAAAAAACTTTTAATAAATTGTTAGAAAGGATTGAACTTGATATAAATAATCATGGCAACTATCCTCAACGTTTGAGAAAATAAAATTGAAAATATCTTATTATCTTTATATTACTCTTTAATGATCTAAGAACTTTTGGACAGACCTAAGTAGCTGCTACTTGATTATTACTTGTTCCGAACATCGTTGTTCATTTCGATCCTTTGACCAGATTGAAGCTTTTGAATGTCGAGATTCAGCCAAAATTTCTTGATTTATCTCAATTCTTTGTTGTTCATGTCGTTTTTTTTTCGAATTGCTGTCGCATTTCTTCTAAAGTTTTATGAACTGGACCTTAAAAAATTGCATAAAACAAATCTTATTTAATGTGGTATAGAATATCTATTAAATGGCAGAATGGTTAACAGTCATTTTTTTCAATAGACTTTCGGTTAAATATCAAGCGATGGAACATTTCTGAATCAAATGTCTGCAAGAAAATGATTAATTAATTCTATTCTATTCTATTTTTGAGAACGAGAAAAGCTGATTATTGGAGCGAATTAGTCCTAGTTCTACTTTTGAAGTTAATCAATTAATCTATATGTATATGAAATGTTTTGTGAGAGAACGAGAGAGATAAAGTTATTATGAATCCGCGCAGTGAGAGATAGACCAGACAGAACAGAGGAGAAAGATGAGGAAAAAAACGGAAGCGAGAAGAAAAGAGAAGGAAGGCGAGGAGGAAAGAACGAAAGAAGAGGAAGGAAGAAACAAAAGGAAAAATCGAAAAAAGATTCTCAATAAAGTTATACATATGTGTTTAACAATTAAATAGTAACTCTTCGATGAAGTCTAAAAAGCGTCAGATTATCTATTCCATTACAATTCCGCAAAATATAACTAAATCTTGACATCTTTCATGGGATATGAGAGATACTCCATATTTGAGTTGACTTACGATTTGTATACATAATTTTTTTTTGAACTACACAATAATTCATCAATATCACAGTTGCTTTTGCAGTGCTTTCAGAGATTACCGTCCATTTGTGTATCTTGTTGAAATTTTTTACAACACGCTTAAGCAAATCAAACACTGGCTTGCATTTTTCATAATAACAAGGTAATGAATCATCCTTTATCAATTGAGAAAAAACAGCGAAAGCTAAGGGTGTAGCGTATAATGCACCAACCAGGCTACTGGCTTGTACTTTTGCTTTACTTTAGATCGAACCCAATCCTTGATCGATTCTATAAGTTTCTTGAGTTTGTAGAATATATTCATTAAAAATATTGTCAATGACCTGTAAAAAATATAATGAGACAGTCATAGTATTACAGCAAAAAAAGGTTTCATCATGAGACAGTATGCAATATTACAGTATTGCTCATTTCTCAAACTTTTTACACTCTAAGCGTACTCATTGAACAATTCATGTTTTTCATTTCTTTTTCTAAACATCGGAAATCTAACTTAACGGCTCAATGGAAAACATCGCTCCCCATAAAAAATCACTGTACCTTTTGCGAATCTTCGAAATATGAATACATTGTACGCTGATTTTCACCATCGTTGCGTCGTACATCGTTTTCTTCTGTCGAGTTAAAATAATATATGTAATCAGGGTTGCCAGATCAAAAATTCAGAAATCGGATTTTCTTATAGAAAAATTCGGAAAATTCGGTAAAATTCGGAAACTTTTTCTAATAAATTCGGAAAAAAATCTGAAGTCAATTTTGTAACATTTATGATAATAAATTGACCGCATATATGTTAAAAGAATGTTGTCCACATCACTCATAATTTATTTTTATACAATTTATAGAAAAAAAAAAGTTGAAATGTTATTTCACTATTAAAATCAATTGTTTTCTAGAAAATATAGACATTCAAGAAAAAACAACATAAAGTTTACGTATTATATAAATATATATATATATATACAGTTCAAAACACTTCTATAAGATAAAAAGATGCATTATTGACTACAAATACGTTTTTTTGTTTCATATTTATCATTTGTTGTTATGGCTTTTAATAGATCTTGTTGAGATGTTATATATTTGTAAAAATCATTGCATGAAATATTTGAATTTTTTCGGATTTGCAATTCCGCTGCAACTAATTGAATATCCATACGATTGCGATAATTGGTCCATAAATGATTCATTTGACTAAATATAGATTCCACACATGCATTACTACATGGAATAGAAAAAACGTAACATATCATTTTTTTAATGTTGGGTGTTGCACCTTTAAGATCTATTAAATAGGACCATAACTGATCAGAACGAACATTTTCGTATGTGCTTTTATTGTCACGTAATAAAAAATCTTCATTATCACTATCATTACATAAAAGATTTTCTTCTTCGTACGTTGTTGATTGTGGATTATGAGCATTTTTATTTAAAATATATGATTTTATTAATTCATTCAATTTCACATTTTTATTCTTTAAATTATTGTACATAAATTTGATTTCACAGTATTCATTATACAGTTCATCTTTATCTAAATCATCAATCTTGATCAGATCAAGAACATCCATAATATATTCCCATTTAAGAAATTGAGGAGAATGATAATCAAAAACCGATAATTTTTCATAAAAATTGCGATTTTCATCAAAATATGAATTAATATATTCGATAGTAACTTTGATGAATGATTCAAACGATTGTTGTAATTTTTCAGCTTTATTCTTATCAGATTCTTTTAATGAATTGAGTATCATATATGCTTTATTGCCAAAATAATGATCATCTAGTCGTTGTTCTAATTTTTTAATTAAATGAGAAATAATTCGATAAAGATCAACAGCTGTTGTATGTTCATTTTGTAACTTCAATTCTGCACATTGAATATCAACTAAAACGTTTTCTAAAAAGTTTAATGTACATAATCCATCGTTGTTATCGAAAAAAGATTTTAAAAACTTAAAGTTTTTTATTGTTGTGATGAATTTTTCTGTTGATGACGATGAATTTTGAAAATATTGTTTTAATGGTTCATAGTTTTCTACTAGGCGTTGCACTGAAGGCAACAAACTTAACCATCGTATATTTATGTGTTCCAATAAAACCTTACAAATAAGCATAGCTTTTATATAACTGTTTTTGAAGTTTTTTTTTCTGAAGCTAATTTTTCACAACTTACTTTATATTCTAATTGAACAAAATCATAATACTTCTTCAACTGTTCTACACGTTTAGCTGACTTGGAAAAATACGAATAGATTTTACATAATGTAATTTCGATGTCGATTATTAATTCATCATGTGCATACTTAACACTATTATGCAATATGTGGGCATAACAATTTCCTATAAATAAGGAAAATGAATAAATGATACGAAGTTCAATAATTTTTTCAAATGAGCTTGAAATAAGCTTTATTTACCTTTGAAAATGTTGGGTAAACAATCTTTAAACAATTTGAATACCGAATGATATTTACCGAAGTTCACATTGGTGTTGTCAGCACCAATGCTGGTCAAATTTTGGATTTGTAATTGGTGATTTTCGATGACTTTAACAGTATTATTAAATATATCAAGTGCTGTTTCACCTGAATCTTCAATAAAATCAAGAAGACCTAAATATAAAATAGAATGCAATTAATTGTATATGACTGGCGAATCTGAAATAGTAAAGACTATATACCTCTCTTCACACCAATATCGGAGAAATATTGAACAACGAATGGATAAGTTTTAACATTTCCTTTATTTGAAGCATCGAACGAAATTGAATAAAAACGAGCTTCTAATATTTCATTAACTTTCTGACGTGTAAAGTATGGAGCTAAAACATTGCAAGCAATAGCTCTTGATTTTGTTCTAGCACATGATAAAGATTTGGCAATTGTTGAAGTTGTTTCAAATAAATTTTTAACTAGATTCATTGTACACTGTTGTGAAATATAACTGTGGCCGTGTCTAACACCATGATATACAAGTGTAGCTTCAGTTGCTGAAACTTTTTGTAATTCACTAATTGTAGGTGCATAATGAACAATCATTGGCTTGTTGGAAAAAGATTTCATACATGTTTTGTGAAAATCACTATTCATATGTTTTTTAAGAGCTGTTTTACCATCACATCGAACACTAAATGATTTTAAACATGCTTTACATCGAGCTTGTGTTTGATCATTTTTAACTTCTTGTAACCAGGATGAATATTCTTTCACATTAAGCCAATCTTTTTTAAAAACGCCTTTTTTTTTCTTCATTTTATGATTAACTGCCGTTGTTGTTGCTGTTGGTGTAGAAGTAGAAATTGTTGAAGATATTATTTCTTGTTCTTCTTCAACTGAATTGATACTCATATCTGAATCATCTGATTCACCATCCATAATTAACAATGATCAAATCTAAAAATTAAGAACTATTAAACGAACCACTATCTTCTTTGAAGCTAGATATTTAGTCGGTATAGTGGAGAATCAATGATTTCCATGATTTTTCCGAAGTAATCTGAGACAGAGACCGACGGAACACGGGACCATCCTGTCCCGTCTCGTCCCAGGACGGGATGGGAGAAGAAAAATAGAAGTAGGATGGGACGGGACATGGGACAAAAGACCGCGGGATGCAGGATATGTGGGACTCAGTGCTTCTCCCACTTACTTCTATTAATGGAACAAAACACAAAAATGACCGTTCATGTTGTGTAGCACAATAGCGATCGATTTTATGCCACAAGAGTAGAAGAATAGTTATCAAAGCGGTCGACTATTGTGTGAACAGACATTGAGACAGAAAAAGAACAATGTTGCCGGGCAATTTGAATTGAATGAGATGAATGATGACCGAAGAATGAGATAACGATCATAATATAATCCGTCTAACATAGAAAATATAATAAAGTTAGGCATGTATACATTTGTTCATTCTGTTTTATTTCGTTACAATTGTTACTTTCGAAAGTTGTTCATTTCAATTCGTCTTTACACATAGATTATACGCCGAGAAAAGTCGATGGTCATAGCTATTCTCCATGCTCTCGTATTATTTCGTCTTCATCGAGAATTGATCTCGCCTCTTCTACTTCAACACCATCAACACTCATTCGTACTTCAAATCATGCGATTTATTCTTGTGTACAGATTGAAAATCTCAAGAAAGAGAAAGATCGTCTTATCGTTATAAACAATACAAATAAAAAACTGACGTCCACATGTTGGCAAGTGTTTGGATTTCCGGCACTTATTGATTCTAATGGTGAACCTCCAGAACGTATTGACAAATTTGTTTCTTGCCGGAAGTGTTGCAAGACTTACTCATTCACATCCAACAGTACTCACTTTCTTCTCTATCATCTATGTAACTCGTCTGAATCTACTGATGGATCAAACACACTTGCTTCATGGTTTCCTCGCCTTCGGTTTTACAACGATATATATACACTGTTTACCTTTGGTGAAAACATGCTCGCGGGATTAGCCGGGATGGGAGTGAAAATATCTAGGCGGGACGGGATGAAGTGGGACACAGCCTTTGAACTACTCCCGACGGGCCTTGTCGGGACAGTTTTTGATCGTCCCCCCCCCCCCCCGGTCTCTGATCTGAGAGCAGTAGGGTAGCCAATCATTATAGAAGAAAAGAGATGGCGCATTAATGATTAAATTTTAGTAACTTGCAAGGAAAAAAATGAAATCTAGTAAATGTTAAAATTCGGAAAAAATTCGGAAAAGAGTCCCAATTCGGAAGGATTCGGAAATTCGGAAGACTTTCGGAAAAAAAGTCAAAATTCGGAATTTTTCCTGTCATTTCGGAAGATCTGGTAACCCTGTATGTAATATTCAATACATGAGTAATACTGGGCTCAGCGATATTGAGTGGTCTCGTTTCATATGAGACAGAGATGCAGGATTGAGAAGCCGAAAACAAAAAGCGGGCCATGAGACCATCATCATTAGATTTCCTAGATATACAAGAAAAAAACTTCGGCTAAATGTGCCGCTGTCGCTATATCGAGGACAGAATTTTCTACTATGATATTTTCTGATTTAGTCTGTCGTTTAACCACAGTAGATGAATAATATGATGTGTACATGATTGATCGATCATATACAACATCATCTTGTTTATACAAACCGAACGATTGTAGGAAGAGTGACTGCGTCATCCCAAATTTGAATGAGTCTTCGCCATGTATTTTTTTAAACTCAGTTAATAGAGATTCGACTCTTTTCTGTTTTTATACCTATATGTTTTTCAATAACAAGATGTGCATTCAAAATTGTTTCTGTTGCACTTGATTTATTAACGCTCGGATACCCAATGATTGTTGTGAAACAAGATGTTCATCGGTGTTCCGATATGTGTTCGAATTTGACTACCGTTAACAAAATGACCTAGAATAGAAAGTAACGTCGTAATAAGATATTCATGTGACATTGGACTATGGAAACAAACGCTATCTATCAGGACACAGATGTTTTCATAGAAAAGTTCAGCCACATCCATAGGATACATCGCAGTCTTTTGCCTAATACTTTGTATCTTATGAGCGGATATTCCTTTTGAAGACATTACAAACCAATAATAGAAGATTATAAAAATGTGTGAAAAGAACAGAATAAAATGAGTATGAGCTACAGAGAACGACGATAGTAGTCGTTACAAGAAACGATTATGTGTTTTTTTTTTGTGAGAGATGATCTTAACACGTCTCTTCTTGTACATTGAATCATGACGAAAACAATTACCTACTTTAGTGAGAAGAAGAGCAAGTAGTACTGTAATTGTAGTGAAAGTGTCTGTTTTTTTTCGACGTTTTATGTTATCATCATTAAGAAGCTTTTGTCGAAGATCGGTATGAAGAAAAGCAACAGCTTATCAGCAATTATTGTTCCTTTATCTACTGATACTTTCATTTGTACATAGGAAAAAGAAGTTATATCTAATTCATTCATTTTTATTGCATTTTATACAGCTCAAATATTCACAATTCATAGAAATATTATTATACTTTTTGTACAGAAACAAAAAATTTATACCTCTGTAATTCATTTTTATCATATTTTATTCAGTTCAAATACTTATACTTATCTACGCATCACTACAATTTCTATTTTATTTATACTAAGTCTCTTGAAGTATAACAGAGATTTGTCATAATTTATTAGTATTTATTTAAAATATCTTTTAATCATTACTTATTATACAATATATAGACGAACATGCAAGTTCAAATTTTGCAGATAACGTGAGACTTCTCACACTACATTTTGTTCTTCCTCTTTATTAAAACGCAGATTGTTCCTTGTAACACTATTGATAACAAATAGATTAACTTTTTTCCTTTTTTTTTCGTCATCATCTATGTGTAACTAAACTTTTTTCCTTTCTTTATCATTTCTTATTCCACAGAATAGATACTTCTCATAATCATCTCCGCTTTCTCTTCTTAATCATCTGAGTTGGGTGTGGGATGTAGGTCTTCTCCTTGTACATCAACGTCGATACCTTACACTCTCTAAAAATTGTAGAAATTCATTACCTCAAATTAAGTGAGTCAGTAATATTTAAAATCATTCAACTATATCAGCCATTCATTCTTTATTTGCAGTACCAAGAAAAGAGAATAAGTACTATCCGCCTGTGAATTTCATCCATTCACACAACCGAAGATAACCAAAAAAAAAACAAATAATGATAGCGAATAATTATTATTGTGGCCAGTTCTATACATCTATAGCTTAGTCTTAAACAAAGTGTAAAAATAAATTAGAGTCCAGTTAACTGTGAATTACTTCCTATACACATTTATATGTTGCTATACATTCAAGTTTACAAATTAAGCGATTTGTCTAACGAAAAATCAACAGTTCTATACTTCCAGCTTTCTTGAGAGATTATTATGACGACTTCTTAACTGTTTCAGTTTTATTCCCATTATGTATTGTTGTCACACAGATTAAATTTTATCTATTGATCTATTCCAATCTATTCAGTAAAAGTTTCTTGTAATTCAAATTCGAAAAATTAAATGAACGACAAGAAAACTTTAATGATACGATTTGAAACAGATTAATAAAGAATAAAATTTAATCAAATCTCTCAGAGAAACCTTGAAGTATTGAATTATCGCATTGTCTCGAAGATCGATCAGTGTAAAAGCTGGAACGTGTAAAAACGCGTTCTAACTGTTAAACGATCTCCAAATCGTAAAAAGCACATATTTTAACGCGTTATGAACGCGTAAAAATATCTAACGAAAAGAGCACAATAAAGTTGTATGATTTTACGAGTTATTATGGGTTAGAATTTCAAACGATTAAAAACGCTTTTGAAACTTTTAACGCATTAAAATGTACGCTTTTTTATGTTTTAGAAAGCTTTCGATTTTCTATGTATTTTTACACGTTTTGTTTTGTTGATTTCGTCTGTCTGAGTTGAAATGTTGTAAAATATGAACTGTTTATCTGACTGGTTCACGATTTACATATGAATGAGTCTATAGCCTTTGATTCATATGTTTGGCCCTCTTCCGTCGATCTGGAATAATGACGTTCGTAAGGAAAAAAAAAGAGTCATGCTTAATCCTTGTTTTCTAGAAGATAGGAAAGAAATAGAAGCCGACATTTTCTGACTGGTGTAAACATGCGTTATGGATCAGAACAAAAAAAAATTCTGACATTCTTTCGATCCCCTCTCATTCTATCGGCGGAAAAAAGAAGATCGCACATTGTCTGTTTCTCTAAATATGCTTCATAAAGATAATAGAAAGAAAGGAACACAAATAATTTTTCATTTCTGGTCTGAAGACATAACGGAAGAAAATATTGTGAAGCATTTTTACTGGAATAATGAATGCTCACAATAATTTTGACTTGGAAATGGAAGAACCATACTCAACACGAGTTGAGGAACCACTTTCTACTAAAAAAAACAGCGTCTGCTGGTGGCTTCGACGTATTGTCACTCTTGATGACGTATCAAGTCAAAAGCATCATCGTCCAGTATTCATCATCGTTATGTGCATTTTACACATTATTATCCATCTCTTGACATACGTTAACATCAGTTGGAGAGGTCAAAATTTTGTGTTTAGTTTATGTGATCTTTTCAAGTTTTTTGTACCATGTATGCGGCCAACACCTGACAATATTCGTATTCGCATCGTCAGTTGTAATCCTTCGATGGAAAATACGACGTGTTATTACGACGATGAATTGAAAAAGATGTGTTTTTCTTTCATGTACCCACACCAACTGTGGCGAATGGTAACTGTTAATCTGTTCCATATGACTTGGTTCCATCTACTGACCAATCTCTCAAAGCAACTCTTGTACGGCATTCCACTAGAGCGTAAATATGGTTCACTTCGTGTAGTTGTTATTTACTG